TAGTCTACATCTCTACATCTCTACAAACAATTTAAGATATTAGCCAGGAATGGTGATGTGTGCCTATAGTTTCAGTTACTTGGGAGGCTGAGGTGAGAAGATTGTTTGAGCCCAAGAGTTGAAGCCTGAAGTGAGTTATGATTGTTCCACTGCACTCCAGCCTCAGCAATAGAGACCCCATTTCTAAAAAAATAAAGCAAAACCAAACTTACTTGTAATAACATATTCTTATCTATTAGTTTGCTACATGTCTTAAACCAATAATCACAAATGTGACTATTATTTTTTAGATCCTATATTGTCTAGAGTATTGCTACTCAAGGAATGGTCTGTAGACCAGCAGCATTGACATCATCTGAGAACTCTATAGAAATGCAGAATATCAGGCCCTACACAGATTTCTAAATCAAAATATGCATTTTAACTAGATTCCCAGGTGATCTGTTTGCATATTAAAATTTAAGAAGCACTGAGTGTACCCATATTTGTCTAATAAATGTGTTTCCTACTTATTTTCAGACATTTGGATCATAGATACATAAAGGGATGTTAGAAATGATCTAACCCTGCATTTCCCCCTGTGTATTCCATGGACAATCATTGCATAGAATGTCAGTAGGGGTTATACTGAAAAAGTGCAGGAAATGCTACTGGTTAAATAACGCAAATAGTTTTCTTATTACTGGTTTCTCAGAATCTTTAATAAGCTGATGTGCATTGTGACTCTCCAGGGAAGGGGGATGAGATATAAAACAGTGAATGTATTGCAAAACATGTGAACATAGGACATTATTTTCACCAGATATTTTACAAGACTAGTGTACCTATCTTAGTCTGTTTGGGCTGCTACAACACAACACCTTAGACTGGGTCACTTATAAGTCATAGAAATTTATTTCTCATAGTTCTGGAGGTTGGAAAGTCCAAGAACAAGACACCAGCAGATTTGGTGTCTTGTGAGGGACCTCAGCTTCCAAGAGGCAACTTGTTGCTGTGTCCTCACATGGCAGAAGGATGGAAGGACAAAAGGGCAAAAAGGATCAAACCAGATCCCTTAAGCTCTTCTATAAGGGCACTAATTTCATTCATGAGAGTGTAACCCTTGTGACTTAATTACCTTCTAAATTCCTCACCTTTTAATACTATTGCCCTGGAGATTAAGTTTCAATGTATGAGTTTTGAAGGCACACACACATTTAAACCACAGCAGTACCCTTTGATACATTTTGAAAAATATTCAGTTAATATGAATATCTCACTTAATAGACTCATATTTTTAAATTTCATCTTATTATTTGACAAATATAAGGTAATCTACTCTAACTTCTTGTTGATTTTTAATAGGAATGTGACTGCTGCTGTACTGGTTATAAAAATAGACCCAAACTGTAATGTGTTGTTCATATGAGTCCAGGGGTTTTCTAGGGTGAGAAAGTAAGTGGGTGTCATGTACTGTGAATGTCTGGGATCTTATCCTACTTGCAAGCCTACTACAAATTAGCCCATAATAGTTTCATGGAAGTTGGCAGAAGACATGAAATTCTTGGGTCAGAGACAAATGACTTTATTACTCATGCCATAGAAAGCAACATAAGCTTCATGTTTATATCAGTTACCCCACATCTCTCAAGTCCCACAGGAGCAATATGGATTGTCCCTGGTGAGTGTTGCTCATGGAGAGAGATTATGCCAAAGCTAAGGATCCTGGAGCTTAGAGAACCCACAACTTTTAAATGAGCTGCAAGCATAGCTGCCTTTTGCCCTATAGAGAGATACTATCTTTATTATATGGTACAGTAAACAAATCTGTCCTTTGCTTCCAAGGGAGACCCTATCTATCTTTCAAGGTTGTTCACTATACAAACTTTCTTGAAAAGACAGCCCAGAACAAAGGGATTCAATGCTTTCTTTTTAAATAGCCTTGATTCAAGAATTGCAGGGATTGAGCACTTTTACTCATAAGGTGTGCAAAAAAAAAAAAAAAAAAAAAAAACAGCAATAACAACAACAAAACAAAAAACCTGAGAGACCCATGGAGAATTGTATCCCAAATTTTCTAGGGGTGAGAAAGGGAGTAGGTGTTCTGCTGCATGAAGTTATTCAGTAATTCAGACTGATAGTGAGTCTACCATGTTCAACACATGGCTTCTAAAGTCACTCTGGCTATATTTGTTGAGGTAGGAGTGGAGTTCATCATTCCTGACAACTGGAAGGGCAAGAGTTTGGCAGTGCATACATGTGAGGGTTCATGAGCCAGGTTTGGAAGTGGCGCATACCACTTGCTAACACTCTATTGCCTAGAACATGGCCACATGGCCACATCTCATTGCACAGGAGAAGGGGAAATGTAGCTTAGCTCTGTGCACAGGAGGAAGGGGAGAACAGGTTTTGAAGGCCACTCTACAGTCTCTACAACATTGCCAATTTTGGTGACTTAGCTATTAGTTTCTCTGTTTTCATCTCAGGTGAAAAAGTGTAAACATACATATAAATGCCTTGGAGTGGGGCTTTATATCTCACAGTGTCACAGAATTTGGGGACTAGAAGGGCCCTTAGAATCATTAGTTCTAGCCATCTTTCCCTCCTTACACCTCCAGTCATTTTAGAGGGGAAGAAGAAACTGAAACTCAAAGAAGTTAAATGGCATAGCTTCATAGCTTACTAAACACAGATGGTTAGTCAGCTGAGTTGAGATTTTCAGATCTCTGTTCCACTACATTTTGACCTAGATCAAACTTGCAAGGTCACAGGACCATTTTGTATTTTAAATTATCATTCCCGAACTACCTGTTTTTTATTTTTGGATTTTTTTTTTTTTTTTTTCAAAATAGGGTCTAATTTTGTCACCTAGGCTGGAGTGCAGTGGCACAAACATGGTTCACTGCAGTCTTGACCTCCCGGGCTCAAGCAATTCTCTTGCCTCAGCCCCCCAAGTAGCTGGGACTACAGGCGTGTACCACCATACCCGGCTAATTTTTTTTTTTTTGGGACAGGGTTTCACCATGTTGCCCAGGTAGTCTCAAACTCCTGGGCTCAAGTGATCCATGCACCAGGGCTTCCCACAGTGCTGAGATTACAAGTGTAAGCCACTGCTCTCGGCCTATATTTGAAATTTTGATTGTTGAGATTTCTTAAATCTTCGAAAATCTATGTATATTGTTTGTTCATTTAGGATTTGTTGAACCCTACTATGGCAGACATTATTCTAGTTGCGGGAAATACAGCTGGGGATGGGCAAGGCAAAGGTCCCTGTTCTTATGGAGCTAGCACTGAGGTGAGATTCCAGAATATTTAGAATGTGATTGACTTTCCAACATGAGAGACATAATGGCTAGTTTATGATATAAATAGTTACACATGGATTCCAAAAACTTATACTTATTGTCAGCTTAAGTCAGATAGCATAGACCTTAACAGCTCTTAAGTTTCTTTACTGTTAGTTCATAGCAAGATTCTCTTTGTGTTTAATATAACTAACCTTTCAAAATAAGTCCTATGCATTACTTCTATAACAAATGAGTTATTATTATTATTTTGTTGTTGACTTTAGGTTAACGGGTTTTATTATGTTAAAGACAGCTTTATTTCAAGTCTCAAAACAGATTGGAAAATTTTTAACAGAAATCTCATTCACATGTTTTGATTTATCAAAGCATTTTATGTTTACTTAAAAAAATTCTTTCTGTTCCCTAGAGAAGCCCGTAATGTACTCAGTACAAATTGAACATCAGAAATATAATGTAGTCAAATGACAGAATAAAATTCAAGAGAAACTGCTGAAGCTTTGCTCTTTGAAAGAAAAATCTGTGTTTCTGTGTTACGTTGTGTGTATATATTATGGAAATATCTGAAAGATACACAGCACCCATGCACAAAAATATTGTTTATGAAGAAGTATATATAATGCAGTTTATTGAAAAAGATTTCAATTTAAAGTAATAGTGCATGAAATAAGCATAGTGTGGCATGTTGCAAAGTGGTCTGAATCGCAAGTCCCAAGAATTAGGATCTAATCTTGATGGTGCTTAAAAAATTACACAATATAAATATTTACATAGCATTTTATGGCATAAAAAGCTTTTTTTTTTCATTTAACAATAGCTAGCATTTACTGAGCACTTACCATGTACCAGACATGGTGATGTTATTAATTCCTACAACGCCTCTATGAGGTAAGTGTCTACTCCCTCTTCAACACTCCACTCCCCAACCCCACCCTCCCTGACCGCCCCCCCGAGGAAATCAGGACGCCCCCTCATCCCAAACAGGGATACTGAACAGTGCCACTGTCTGCCACCTGTACATTGTTCCCTCCTTCCAGGACTCAGTTCTGGTATACAGTGCTGACTAGTTGGTGGATAGTGAAGGCCACCTAGGTACACAGCCATATTATTAATTATTATTATTATTTACATTAACACTTTTTTTTTTTTTTTGAGATGGAGTCTCACTCTGTCACCCAGGCTGGAGTACAGTGGTGCAAGCTCGGCTCACCGCAACCTCCGCCTCCCAGGTTCAAGCAATTCTCCTGCCTCAGCCTCCTGAGTAGCTATGATTACAGGCACGTGCCACCAAGCCTGGCTAATTTTTTGTGTTTTTAGTAGAGACAGGGTTTCACCACATTAGCCAGGATGGTCCCAATCTCCTGACCTTGTGATCTGCCTGCCTCGGCCTCCCAAAGTGCTGGGATTACAAGTGTGAGCCACCACACCCAGCCTAAAACATTTTTTTAAATGAAGGAGTCTTGCTATGTTGCCCAGTCTGATGTGGAACTCCTGGGCTCAAGCAATCCTCCCACCTCAGCCTCCCCAGTGGCTGGGACTACACAGACACACCATCATGTCTTGCTCTTTTTAAAAATTTCAGTGTCTCGTCAGGGTCAACAGGAGAATTAAACAGGCCCAGAGTTCCCCCAAAGTTCTCAGGCATTTATGCTTAGGTTACATATTTTACAAACCTCCCCAAATCCCCTTTTTATTATCTCTTTTGACTTCACCCAGGTGCAAGCCCAGAGGCAGTCTATACCCCGACTCAACTGGCTGGTCCTCAGTGCTGCCTGCTTCCGTGCCCAACTTAGAACTACACATCTGCTGCCTCCTGGTAACATGTCATTATAAGGTAGGGAGTGGGTTTCAGTTCTTGGTCACATTAGTATTATTATTAATAGAGACAGAGAATCTCACTCTGTTGCCAGTGCTGGAGTGCTTTGGCAAGATCACAGCTCACTGTAGCCTCAACCTCCTGGCCCAGGTGTTCCTCCTGCCTCAGCCCTCCAAGTAGGTGGGACTACAGGTGCGCCACCATGCCTGGATAATTTTTTTTTTTTTTTTTTTTTTTTTTTAGAGATGAGGTTTCACCCTCTTTCCCAGGCTGGTCTTGAACTCTTGAACTCCTGGGCTCAAGTGATCTGCCTGCCTCAGCCTCCCAAAGTGCTGGGATTTGAGCCACCACCTTGGTCACATTATTGACAGCAGTACAACCTTTCCTGGGAGGTAACCCCAATTTTATTTTGTTTGCTCACAAGTACGTGCAAACTGTTTTTATTTTCTTGGTCTAAATTGTGCAAAGATTGAAGTATTTACCTCCCATTATATCTTCACTTTCCTTTTTTCTCCCATCTATAATGTTTGCTGGATGCTAGCCTGATAACCTTCACTTCTGTCAACTTACTTCTCAATTACCGTTGAACCTCTCTTTCTGTCATGTTTTCCCCTTTAGTAAGTGCGATCATACTACATTGATTCTAAGATGCATGTTCTTCACATTTTAATGTCTCTGAAATCAGCCTGCATTTCACAGTGGTTGACATCTTACAATAAATTCTAGCACTTAAAAAAGTTGTCAGTAGAACATAAAATAATTGTGCATTTCAAGCAGCCCAGGGCTTCTTAGATTTGATGGAATAAAGCTAATGCAATCATAAGGTCTGCAGTTTAGAGACGCCAGTTGACTTGCCCAAGATCATGCACTGGGACAAGGTAAAGCTGAACAGGACGCATCCTCAAGCAGGCTGACTTCAGAGCCCTTGCTTTGTGCTCCGCACTATAGTGGGGGAAGCGACGTTCGGAGAGGCAAGGGCACTTTGCTGCCATGTGACAGCATCAGAATTTGAATCCAGAGCCCTTTCTCACTACTATATTTGTTTCTGTGACCTCAAGGATACAGGAATTTGGTCTAGAAAATCTCTAAGGTTTCTAATTTGAAATAAAGCCAGTTTTATTTTTTAAATTCATCAATTTTTAAAAATACATTTTCTAGTGCAGAAAATATACACGGCACAATTTAAATTAAAAATTTAAACTTAAAAAATAAATTAAATGTAAATAAAAAATTTTAAAAGTAGCAAAGGAAAATAAGGAAAAGTAATTTTTCCAACTCGTGCCCCAGCCACTCACTCCTACTCCCTAGAGGTAAACACTGCTACAACTCTTCTTGTGCACATTCTAGAGGCATTCTATGCATATAAAGCAAATATGTACATATGGCATTTTAAAGTTATCAACCGTACGTTCACACCAGTATCTCTAAGCCCAATCAGTCCCGTAACAGGTCTCATTCTAGTTTTCTCCCACTCCAAATTTGTGACTCCCATCTTCAAAATTTTCCTCAATGTATTTTCTTATTTGATCAATTCCCATGTGCATAAACAATCTCTTGGGTCATTGTCCCTCTCTTTTTGGGATGTTCCTGGCATCTTGCTTGGCTCTGGCACCCCACGCTAACCTGCTGCCCCCTCTGCCCCTTTCCATGTGAACGCCCTTCCCATCCACACCGGGCTCAGACAAATAGTTGGCAGATAAAAGATAGACGTCCAATTAAATTTGAATTTCAAATAAGGATGTCTCAAATAATGCATGGGATATACTTGTACTAAAAATTATTCACTGTTTATTTGAAATTCAAATTTTAACAGGGCTTCCTGTATTTTTATTTGCTAAATCTGGCAACCTTACATGCTGGGCCACCCATCACCACCATACCTTAGTGCAGAACCCTCTTCATCTCACTGGAGGTTTAACATGTGAAACTGAGTAGTCCTCCTTCCCACTGTGTCTTGCTCGGCCCTGCCTAATAGCTTTTGGGCTGAAGTGTTAGGGAAGGGATTGAAAGGACAGGGAAAGGGAGAAGGAGAATGTGGGAAGGGTAAGAAGGAAAGAGGGAAGGAGACAAGAAGAAAAGTGAGAGGAAGAGGAAGAATGCATTACATTTTTAAAATCTAGATTTATGAAAATGCAGTTTTTTACTTACCTAAACTATATACAGTGTAATGATTTTAAAAACCCCACAGAGCCAGGCAGATCTCTTGAGATCAGGAGTTTGAGACCAGCTGGGGCAAGATGATGAAACCTCATCTCTACAAAAAACACAAAAAATCACCATGTGTGGTGGCTCATGCCTGTAGTCCCGGCTACTTGGGGGACTGAGGCAGGAGGATTGCATGGGTCTGGGAGGTGGAGGCCGCAGTGAATAATGATCTCACCACTGTACTTCAGCCTGGGTGACCAAGTGAGACCCTGTCTAAAAATAAATAATAATAATAATAATAAATTAATTAAACCCCACATGGACAAAAATGCCACCTAAAGTCAAGGAATGTGAAATTACAACAAGCCTAGGTCAGCTGATACTAAGTTAACTAAGTCAATAGAAACTATACTGGTGAGGTAAGTTTGAAAATTTGGGAGGGTTATGAAGTTCTGCTTTGGGCAAAATCTTTTCTTGATGTTTACTACCTCCTTATTCAGAAAAACAAACAGCAACAACAACAACAACAACAAAAACCCCAAAAACAACAATCTCTTATGTAGCAAAAAAAAATCTTGGGGGAACTAGCCTTCTTTTGATGATTGTAATGTGGGAACATATGCAGTATAAATAACACAGAAAGACTTTAAAGACTCCTCATGCAAACCTTGTCCACTTTGTAAGTTGAGTATTACCTTTCAGAAAGGAGCAAAGATGAAACATTGGGTTTAAATGATTCCTTTGGTCAAAAGCAGCATCTTGGCTTTTTACATACTTATTATCTATAGATAAAACAATAAATTGCAAAGCACAGGTACATTCAAAGTAAGTGCTTTTCCAGGGTGGTGGTGGTTTTGTTTTTTAATTTTTTGGTTTTGTTTTCTCTTTGTTCTAGCCCAAAGTAGACAAAAGCAAGTGAAAGCATTCAAACAAATCATTCGAAGTTGGAAACAGGGTTTGATGGGTCATCTATAGCATGTAGAAATATTTATGAAAAATATGAGGAGAGGTCTGCAGGGAGCACAGTGGGGCGATTCCTTATAAAATCACCTGAAGTGCTGGGGGTAAGTGATGTAAACATCAGGGAGGCTGGAACTCACTTGAAAAGGCATCCAAGGCAAGATGCATGTGGGCAGATCACATGCTTCCAGGCATTCTGTTGCATGCAGAAAAGTGGGATGCTCCTTTAGAGCCTCCCTCAGAGGAGATACTATCTGAGCACAGGCAAATATCTGAATATCACCTTTTGGGCCACAGTGAGGAACTCAAGGAGTTGAAATGGTTTCTGGAGAAAAAAAAAAAAAGCTCAGAGATACAAGATTTTCCTTTAAACTCAACCCTCATATTTCTGTGCTGTGAGTACTTTGGACCCTGGTGGAAAGGAAATAGCCGGGAGCTTCCTCTGCCCTGTCCTCTGTCTCAAGACATCTGTAGAAGAAAGAGGAGTGTGAGATAAAAAATGTGGACTTTCAAGCCCAACAGAATCTGACTTCCAAGTTTTGTTTCCTACATAGTAGTTGACCTAGGGCAGAGGGCAGGTTACTTAATCCTTTTTTTTTTTTTTTTGAGATGGAATCTCACTCTGTCCCCGAGGCTGGAGTGCAGTGATCTCGGCTCACTGCAAGCTCCGCCTCCCGGGTTCACGGCATTCTTCTGCCTCAGCCTCCCGAGTAGCTGGGATTACAGGCGCCCGCCGCCACACCCGGCTGATTTTTTGTATTTTTAGTAGAGACAGGGTTTCACCGTGTTAGCCAGGATGGTCTCGATCTCCTGACCTCGTGATCCGCCCACCTTGGGCTCCCAAAGTGCTGGGATTACAGGCGTGAGCCGCCGCACCCGGCCACTTAATTCTTCAATAAGTGTTTCTTCTTCTGTTAATACCACCCTGCTATGCTATGCTAAGTGATAAAATAGGACAGTGTTTCTGAAATGTGGTTCCTGGGCCTGCAGCGTCAGCCTATCAAGGGATCTTGTTAGAAATGCAAATTATTCACCCCACTTTAAACCTGTAGAATCAGAATCACTGAATCTATGGTTTAATGAGCCCTCCAGACGATTCTAGTGCATTCTAAAATTTGAGGACCACTGTAAAAGGAAAAGCCACTGGCATAGAGCTGATGAACAAAAAATGGTAACTGCCTTTTTTTTTTTTTTTTTTGACAGAGTCTCACTCTGTTGCCAGGCTGGAGTGCAGTGACACGATCTTGGCTCACTGCAACCTCCGCCTCCTGGGTTCAAGTGATTCTCCTGCCTCAGACTCCTGAGTACCTGGGACTACAGCCACGTGCCACCACACCCAGCTACTTTTTGTATTTTTAGTAGAGACAGGGTTTCACCATGCTGGCCAGGCCAGGATGGTCTTGATCTCTTGACCTCATGATCCACCCTCCTTGTGCTCCCAAAGTGATGGGATTGCAGGTGTGAGCCACGGTGCCCAGCCAGTAACTGCCCTTCTAAGCATGCTCCTTCTTCATTTCCTGTCTTCCCCTATTTATATGACTTTCCCTCTATTTTTTATTATTGGAATATATTAGTGTTGCCCTCTGTCTTCTGTTATAAAGAGAGAGGAGCTGAGAGCAGACCTTGGGGAGAGGCTGGGCTGCCACAGTTAGACCCATGCCTCAGGGACCCAGACACTCACTTCATGATGCTTTATAGGTCTCCAGGAGTCCTGTGAAATACCACCCTCACTGGACCCATGCATGAACCCACTAACTTCTGGAAACTCCAAAGGAGAGGAGAAGACAATGTACAGTGAAATTTTTCTTTGTCTGGCAGGCCCCATTTGGATTTGTGACATTTTCTTTCTTTCCAGTCTATCCTCCTCACTGCAGTCAGATCATGTTTCTGAATAAAAAGTATCTGATTCTCTCATTACTAAAATACTCTGTAACCTCCCTAAGATTTTGCCCATAATATTAGGTAAAACTCCTTATCATAGCATGTAAAGCCCTTCTCAGTCTGGTCTTGAAAGACCTCTTCAGCCTTGTTTTACTTGTCTCTGTTTACTGTTGCTATTACAGAATAGAGATTAGGTAATTTATACAAATGAAAGTTTATTTGGCTCATGGTACTGGAGGCTGGGAAGTCCAAAAGCATGGCGCTGACATCTGGTGAGGGCCTTCTTGCCGCATTATCCCATGGCAGAGAGCAAGCAAGCATGTGAGACAGAAGGAAGTGGGGCCAAACTTACCCTTTTATCAAGAACCCACTCCCTCAATAACTAACCAACTCCTAAGATAACAGCATTACTCCATTCATGAGGATGTAGCCCTCTTGGCCTAATCACCTCTTAAAGACTCCACCTCTTAATAGTGTTATAATGGCAACTAAGTCTCTAACACATGAACTTTGAGGGGAACAAACTCAAACCACAACAAGCCTCATTGCCCATTTCCTGCCGCCTTTCTTCTTCCCATTTCCAACACACATGGGTACACATGCACATGCATGACTTGTCCCTGTGGGAAAGCAAGTGGTGAGCAAAACACCACTGGTGGATATTACCCTTGAGGGGGTCATGAGAATAGAGAAAGTATTCCAGGCAAGAGGAACAGAGATGTGAAACAGCATGGGGAACTACAATGTGGCATTATGAGGAGCTTTTTGTTTGTTTGTTTTTGTTTGTTTGTTTTTCTGAAAGTGAAATTTATGAGGTAAGGTGTAAAGACAGGTGGTGCTGGAAAAGAAAGCTCAGGTCAGGCCTGGGAAAGTCTTTAGTGATATGCTAACCAAGGTGCCCAGCAAAAACCAAACAGCATACTCATATGCAAGTTTCAACACATTGCAGATTGTCTAGTGGTTACATTAGATTCTTTTTGTTCAGGTCTTGAATAAAAGTAGGCATATTATCTTTGTCAAATAGCTGAAGAAACTGAGACTCAGAAGGTAAATCATTGACTCATGGGATATTTCCATTATAAGATGCTGAGGATAGGATCCACAGCATCCTATCCTCAGCCATCACTGTGCTCCCAATCACGACACTGTTCTGAAGCCAGGGCTTTCCCTGGCCCTATAAAAGTAGCAATTAACTTCAAATTTGGACTACGGCTCTAGATCTGACTCAAACCCTCTTCATGGAGGTCCTCAATTTAGATGAGTTACTTTCTTAACCTTAAGATATTTGTTTCCTTATACTTGGTGTCTTAATTATTTGTTATTATTTATTCCCTAACAACACTGGCTAGGAACATTCTGAGATTTGGGCATTTAGTTTTTCTGTAGATCCCCTTGATAAATTCTTGGTGGACAGCCTCCTCTGTCTGAATAGCTAGTATCAATATCCACAAAGGCCCTTTATGCAATTTGTCAGTTCTGTAAGTGTCAATTTCGTAGAGTGGGTGTCTTTAGTGGCCTCCACTTATGTTTGAAAAAATTTTAACGAATGCTTTTACTTCGGAATTCTTTCCTGAAAATATGTGGCAAAAACAATCTTGAAAATAATATTTTGTTCTTTAAGAGTTGGGCTATTGTTCCCTCTCTTTCAGGAACTGGTTTACAAAACTTATATCCAGGGAAGCACAGTGAAACCTTAAAGTGTAGAAAAAAACCCAGAGGAATCAGTGTGTCAAACTGCAAACTAGACTTATTTGAAGTCACCATAACAATGACAAAATTAATATATTAATAGCAACCCTAAGGCTGATAAGTTATTTTAGTAAAGTGTCTAAAAGTTTGAAGGATTGCTTTTCCATGTTGGAAAAATGATTATATATACCTTGGGGAGAAAAAGGTCTATTAATTGCCTCCATTTGAACATTATCAATATTAAGACATACATTAAATTAGAAAAAGTTTTAAATTAATTAACTTCAGCCTGGTAAATTCTCAAACTT